TTTTTCTCTAACGATGTCTCACTTTCCACAGATCCAATCTTACAAAATACTCAGGTGTACATGCAACAGTCATATCACACACATCCATTTGTTCTTGTTTCCTTTAAATATCCCTGAGAAAAGCAACTTTCAATAAATAGTGGCAATTTTTGAGTGACGGCATTTTAGCATTTTTAATTTCTTCTTTGAACTTGTCCTGTGTTTGCATTTTTGAATAAAAATAAACCATTTATGAAAATCATGAAATGACTCTTTTAAATAAAGGCAAAAAGCTACCATGGCAGAAATACCTCTGGTTTTCTTACTCAGGATATTTTATGAGACAAAGCTAGAGCCTTCAAACCAATAATTCATTTTGCATTTTTCAATCCCTGTAGATGGTAACCATCATAAAAAAATTTTTTTGGAACCACATATAATGTGAACCTCAAATGTTTTCAAAGTCAAGCCCAGGGAACAAACGTTATAAGAAGTGGCCTACGAGCAGTTTGGTATGATGTGACGGAATACGAGAATTCACCTTTTTAACTTTGGTCGCTGTGATGTTGACTGTGTTGCTGGGTTTGAAAACCCCGTGCTTTTGCTAACTGGAAGGGCACTTTTTTTGGCATTAACCACCTGAGTAGAGTGGGCATTGAAAGACTTTGGACTCCTCCTCTTCATTTTCCGCTCTTCCATTGCTTTAAGCTCCTTGTTGCACCAAGACCAGCTTCTTGTTGCAACCTAGATAAGGAAACACAGCAATTATCCCTGAATGACATCTTCGGAAAAAATGAAAGTGGTTTGACGATGCAAGACACAGGCTGAAAGAGAACCAACCATTTGAGGAAACAGAAAATTAGAAAAGGGATCTTGACATTTGGAAAACCCATTAACGTCGACTCGATTCTGACTCATGGTGACACTACAGGACAGAGCTAAAGGGCCCTGTAGGGTTTCAGAGACTATAATCTTTACAGTGGCAGGCTACCTCACTTTCCTCCTGCAGAGCAGCTCAACTCACTGACCTTTTCAATAGCAGGCCAGGGCTTAACCCACTGTACTACTTAGGCTGCCCAGTGTACATAGAAAACCAAAATTCCAACCTTACTGCCTCCAAGTCAAAGTCAACTCATAGCGACCCTATGGGGCAGGGCCGAACTGCTTGTGACTTTCTGAGTCTGTAATTCTTCAAGGGAGTAGAAAGCCAGAAAGCCCCATCTTTCTCCCGAGGTATGGCTGGTGGTTTTGAACTGATGATCTTGCAGCACAACTCATAACCACTGCACCCCCAGAATCCTTAGCAACCCTGTATGGAAAACACTTTGGTTGAGACGATTTTCTTTATCCACTCATGCTACAACTATTTGCTGGCTCTTCCACGTGCCAGATCCTATTCTAGCAAAAGACAAAGTCCTTGTCGTCCAAAAACCTACAAGACAGAAAAAGAACAATACGTAAACAACAACTAAATCATCCATGTCATATTCCCAGCCTGACTCACACTTTTGGTCACTTTCGGTCTAACCCTCTGAAATGTGTATTTAAGATCAACCAACAAGTTTCAAAGAGAAGGGTACGTGACAAAGATGTCCGCATTTTAAACAGTGAGAAGTCTTGTTTCAAGGACCAAGCAATAACGGGTTTTGCCCATTTCCTTCTTTGTGATCCAGTGAAGCGCTATACAATGAAACCGAAGTCACTCCTAAAAACTTGAGAACTTTCATGAAACCAGATGTTTTTGCTGTTGCCTGGACTTGTCACTGGAATTCAAACTGTTCAGCTTCGCTTGCCTCAGGCTGACTAACTTACCTCCAGAGAAGCAAAGGTTTTACAGGAAAGGCTCAAATACCTAATCCCTAATGCCAGCTTTTAAATCTGCTTAAGACCTTGGCTCAAGAGTTTCCTTTAGAAAACATTTTTTGGTTAGTCACTGTGGTTTGGGTTCAGCATGTAACACGACTTCAGATGGAATTTTGAAAGACGAATGAACAGGGAAGGCTGGCCATCTCCTTCTCTTAAGAGGCTAGACTGCGGAGATTCCTAATACACCCAAATTCACTTAGCTCACACGCCAATCGCAAGAAGGAAAACAGTAACAGTAACTGAGAAGCAAAGACATGCAAGTCAACAATGAGTTTTAAGGGGACGGGGATCGAAAGTCATCCGTTTGAGCAAGGCAACAGCTCGGGCACATCAAGCAGCGAGGCGCCTGCCAGAGAAGACGTTAAACTGCGCACAGTAAGTTACCCACCAGAGCCCGCCGCCTCCACCCTGAGCCCCCGGGCCCCGAGTCCCTCCGGGCTTCCCTCGCTCGCGTGCCCTCAGCAGCCCACGCAGCGACCTTAGTCCCCAGGCCCAGCGGGAACCAGAAACGGAGGGAGCGCCGGGAGGAACGGCGGCGGGGCGCCTGTGGGTCCCCTTCATACCTGAGGGATAAGGGGCTCGGAGTCCCCCGTCTGCCCAGACTCAGGGATCTCCGAGATGGTCGCCGCAGCTGCAGCCGCAGCTAGAACCGGGCTCACATCCCGCTCCCCGCGCCGGGGGAGCCCGCCTTGTTTACGGAAGTGACGTAGAAAGGCGAAGCCGCCACGCTCTAGGAGCGAGCCCCGCCTCTTCCTCTTCCGTAGACCTCGTTTCCGTCCCCGCCCCTGGCAGCGCATCTCTGTCGCTCGCCGGCCTTGAGCTGTAACTTCTGCGGGCGTGGAAAGGAGGACCCCTCACCGGGCTTTTCAGGTTGAGTTGATGACCCCGAAGCAGGGAGAACATGTGGGTGGCGGGGGAGGCCGGGCGAGAAATGTAGGACCTTTCCGGAAGCGGCCCCGCCCCGTCTTTGTGTGGCACCGCCCACGCACTACAATTCCCGGCATGCCACGCGAGCAAACCCAGAGCGGAAACCACCAGGTCGCCGTGGAAACGGTCTTGATTGTTTCGGAAGTGCAGTTGGGTCTCGGTGCTGCCGTTACTAGGCGGGCGGCTTGAAAAGGACGGTCTGTTCAGCGAACCTGTTGCTGAGCCTAAGTTTTAATTCTATTAAAAATAGAATTTTAATATTTGTATTACTGCTCCTAATCGCTGTCTTCGGGTACGGTTGCTGTTAGATGCCATCCAGTCGCTTCCGACTCAGTGCACAACAGAAGCAAACACTGTCCGGACCTGCACCATCTTCACAGTTGTTCCCGTTTCAGCTCATTGTTGCAGCCACTGTGTCAGCCCATCTCCTTGAGGGCTTTCCCTGTTTCGCCGCTCCTCTACCAAACATGAGGCCCTTCTCCGGGAACTGGTACCTCATAACAATATGTCCAAAGTGTAGTCTCGCCATCCTTGCCTCGAAGGAGCGCTCTGGCCATACTTCTTCCAGGACAAATTTGTTTGTCCTTTTGGTAATCCATGGTACTTCCAACATTCTTCTCTGGCCCACAATTCAAATACAAAGATTCCTATTCGTATGCCCAACTCTGACACACGTCATTTCTAAATGTCTACAGTCCTTTGAGATTGATTTTTAAAGCCCCATTTTACTGTCTCGGAAACTCACGGGGGCAGTTCTACCCTGTCTCACAGGGTCACTATGAGTCAGTATTGACTGGATGCCAGTGAGTTCATTGTAGAAACAGCTCTGAGAATCAGAAAAGCTGATAGATCCAGGTCTTTTCTGGCACCAAAGACAATTCTCCCGTGATATGTGCTGCCTCTGGAAAAGGCAGGATTGAGAGGCCTGGGTCCATTCTAAATCCATGTTTCATTTCCGGAGGTTGCTGTCTTGGATTAAGGCACATAGCGGCCTTATAGGACAAAGTAGAACTGCCCCAGAGGGGTCCCAAAGCAACTACCGCATCTTTCTCCCCCTGCTGAGTGGCTAGTGGGTCCTCACTACCAAACTTTGGATCAGCAGCCACGCATTTAACCATTAAACCACCATTCCCCAGTCTGGAAAAATTTCGTGTGTGTGTGTGTGTGTGTGTGTGTGTGTGTGTGTGTGTGTGTAGGTCTTAGACAGTTGAAGTGATTTTGGAAGGTATTATGGGTCTCCCTCATTTGCTAATGAAATCATATCTAGAAATTATAGCAACATGGAGAATGTTTTCTTGTGTGTATATATTTTTAAATCATTTTATTGGGGGCTTGTACATGCTTATCACAATCCATACATACATATATCGTGTCTAGCACATTTGCACATTTGTTGCCATCATCCTCAAAGCATTTGCTTTCTACTTGAGCCCTTGATATCCGCTCCTCATTTTTTCTCTTCGCTCCACACTCCCCCCTCCTTCACAAACCCTTGATAATTTAGACATTATTATTTTGTCATATTTTACATCCAGGACAGATGAACCCCTCAGGACCAGTGGGGAGAGTGGCGATACTGGGAGGGTGGAGCAAAGGTGGGGTAGAAAGGGGGAACCTATTACAAGGATCTACGTATAACCACCTCTCTGGGGGATGGACAACAGGAAAGTGAGTGAAGGGAGACATCGGACAGTTGTGTATATTTTGCCGAAAATAATTATACAATGAGTACAGGGGAAAAGAAAATTGATGTAGTAAAGATTATACAACTAAAATTGATTGTGGTAAAGATTATACAACTCTTCTTGATATGGTTGAACTATTGAATTATATATATGTGGATGGAGTGCCAATAAAACTGTTAAAAAAGAAATTATATCAATGCCAAGAGGAGAGACTGGAACCCAACACTCCTGGATTCTAGTGTGAGACCTTTCTCCACCACTTCCTTGCAAAAATAAGTAAATACATTTTTGCATTGTTTTTCTGAAATATATTCACAGAGAAGCACAGGGCAAACATCCAGTAACCCACCATCCAGAATCAATGGATGCTTCCTTTTGCCATTGCATATTGTTAACAAAAGAAGTAGAACATTTACAAATGTTCAAAGCCCCACTCTCTTACTTCATTCTGAGAGGCAACCAAAATTATAAACTGGATATGTATCTTACTGATCTAGGTTGTTATAGTTTACCATCCCTGTGTATTCCTAAGCCATATATGGAATAGTTTTGGACTTTTTAAATGTGAATCAGTTGTGTTGACTCAACTGCCAACCTCCCCCCCCCCACTAATTCTATTTTCAGAACTAGCTGTATTAATACACATGGCTACAATCTATTTAATCCATATATAATGGTCTGTCAAATGAGCTTGACACTATTTGGTAATCCTTTAATGATTGCTGTTAGGTTGTTTGCCAGATTTCACCATGACAATCAATGGTAGGGTATAATTTTCCCAGTAATTTTTCTTAGTACCTTCTCGTGGCTCATCTCTGGAAGAGTCTACAAACTAACAATTCACATGCTACTGTAACTTTTAAACTGCTAATAATGAAAAGTAAGTACTAATAAAATTAGGGTTTGGGGCATCCTGTGAAAAAATGGGAAAATCTAACCATACTGTATCAGCTCTGTACCATGGCATCAGGGGCTGAAGGTCAAGGTCAATCCTTCAGATTGGAGCAATTACGGTACAGTGCCTTGATTCCCTATCTGATCCTTGGGGGACTGGAGTGGTAACACTTGATGACATGTGGGACACAGGAATGTACCTGCCAAAGGTACATGCCTCAAACGCTCAGCATTATTTCTTAAGTCCTTATTTTGATATCATAGGAAGTCAGAATGCATCCACAAACACTGTGGACAAGAGCCCTTTGGTCAGAAATCATATATGTTTTATTTATTTATTTATAGAAGAAACACATGATAAGTAAACGAATAATGACAAGTTTGCTGAAATAACAGTGTGAGGTCAGAGAGAGCTGCTGGAAGAGGCAGAGTCATGAAGAAGGCGTGTCAAGGGAAGGACTCTGTGGGCACTTGTTGCAGGGAGGCATGACTGAGGAGTAGGAGCCAGCACGAGATGAACTGAGGGAAGAGCGCCCCCACGTGGACCGTAAGGCTAGAGTTTGCGTCCTTCAGTAAACATGAGCTGGGCATGGTAAAGAAGCGAGGTGGCAGGCAGTATCTGGGTTGTACTCACCCAGGGTCAGTGTTATTCAATAAAAATAGATGCAACAAGACTGTACATGTTGATTTACTCTCCCTGGAAGAAATGTTAGGTTTAATATGCAGTACATAAGGAAAATAGGTAAGGATTGCAAAACTGTTTGATGTACTTTGGGCATGTTGCCAGAAAA